GTGGGGGAGGAAAGAGAGAGGCGGGAGCAATTCAAAACTAGAGAATTAATGGGGAGAGCTAACAGTGAGCGCCGGGGGAGGGAACTGTTGTTGCCACCGCCCACCATGTGTGAGAGTTGGTTGGCACGTGCATCTCAGGGACCTTACTCCGGGGTCCCTCGAAGAGCTGGGAGACATGAGAATTGCGAGTGGGAGCATTTGATGATTTCGAAGAACTCCTAGAACACGGTAGATTGGCGTTTTGTAGGTCTCGGTGAAAGAGTGAGCTTTGTTTCACCTCCTTTCCTCCCCTGCTAATACGAGAGATGCTGTCTCTCTCTACCCGCTCCCCTGCCCCCAAATAATCACTGGCTGTGCCTGGGTTTGGCAGCAAAGTGCTAAAGCGAGAGAAGTGCCCCCAGGGACACCTTTCTTCTTTGCCTGTCTCCAGGTGAGGCTGGAAGAGCACCCCCCCCCAGCTTTTCCTTGGCTGCAGATCTGAGCCTCTCAATTCTCCACCCGGGATCTGAAAGGAGCTCTCACTTTCTTCTCCTTCCCTCCCCCCAATTAATGACCAAGGGCGGCAATACTTCTGTAGGCAGAGAAGCCCCTGGAGTGGTGCCAAGGAGTGCTGCTCCGCAAAGAGAGCAAAGCCCCTTTTCTGCCTCTGCTTCTCCCAGCAGCAGTTGCCCCGAGGCCCCTCAGCTCTGCTCTTCTGTCTCTTTGGAAGGTGCAGGTAGGGGGAGGCTTCCAGCCAGAAACATTTTATGTTGTTATCATTAAGCATTTACGTTTTTGTTATAATTAAATAAGTGTGTATGTGTGTGTGTCTGTAGGTATGTGTGTGTGTGTGTACACACACACATTTACACATACAGACAGACAGACAGACATATATATATAATATTAAATTTATACTTAACATTTTTTATATTAAATATATTAGCTTTTTTTTAAAAATCGTATTAGTGGTCCTCAGGATTTAAAAGTATGAGTTTAGTGTTCCCTGAGGTCCCAAAGGCTGGTGACCCCTAGTTTAAAGCATCTATCGGCCAACATGGGGCGGGGGAGGAGAGCTGAAAAATGCATTCTTTGTTAGGGCATGAACTACTGAATTGATATAGAAATTAAAACTGAGCTAAAATATATTTTTGCTTTATTTCTTTCCAGATGGGGATTTGGGCCAATACATGACTTAGAATAGATGACTTAGATGATATCTAACCTGCATATTGAGATTATCATGCATCATCTTTATTAACAACAGTAGTTATTTGTGAATGGCTCATAATTCCAGCTTCCTCTAAAGTTTTTTTTTTTTTTATAGAGTTCAAATGGCAAGAATCACTAAGGCTATGTGTAAAGCTCCCCAGGGGTACTAGAGTGTTTCTTTGGCAAACATTAGGTAATAGTTCATTCCCCTACCCACCCTTTGAATACAGTCTGTTTATCTACTAAAAGGATCTTACACTCCAATCTTAATCCCCATAACTCTGCAAATATATATGAATAGCCAGTTTCAGCTTTCAAGTTGGGTTCACACAACATATCAAACCTTAAACCAGTTTTTTTATTTGTTTACTGTTTTTAAAATAACAACAGAAAAAGAAAAAAGAAACAAACCACAAAGATAATTATGATTGAATTACATACATTATTAAAGGGGGAAAAGATAAAAGTGTTTTTAAAGTTTAAAAATACAACAGAAAAAGAAAAAAGGAAATAAAGAATATCTCATTATAGCAGTAAACAGTTTCAAGTATACAGTATATTTATCTAGTGCAAATATTAAGCATAATGAAATACAGTATGGAATTCATTTATACAAAATACAGTAGGTTAAATAAAAGCATGATAGTTATATAAGTATTAGAAATGAATACAACCTTCAAACAGGGTTAACAAAAATTGTTACGCTGTGCTCAAACTACAGCTTAATTTCATAGTTTAGTTCTTACACTATGTTGAAACACAAAATATCCAACTCTGTTTAGGGCTAATATGGTATATTCTTTGAATCCAGCCACCTTTATGACTCTGCTTGCTGTTACCAATATTAATATTAACAGCAGATATGAATATGGGCAAATGTAGGAGGTTTTCTAGCACAATATATGGTATCTGGTGGCTAATAAAAAATAGATTATTCATTTGTAATCTAATGTTATTAATTAATAAGCTACAGCTATTTGTCCTTATAGTGTAACTTTCTGAAACATAAATTCTGCAAAATATCTTTGTCCAGAAACCACTATGGGCCAAAGAAATTACTGCATGTATTGCTGAACTCTGAAATATAAACTTCAGTTCTGGGAAACCATCCATTACCCTGACTTCCCATTTGGTGAAGCAGATTTACCGTAATTCTGAGACAAGGATGCTATTCTTCCATCTTTGAGGAAGAAGTCCAAAAGACCTGGATAGGCAACTGAAAGTTCTTGTTGCATCTTGGGTTTAATTTAATATATGCATACTGACTTGCTAAACAGTTTTAACACAGTCTGTGATTCCCCATGGCATGCAAATTAGATCAGCATACTACAAAATATTTACTATCATGAGCAAACATGTTCAGATGGGGGATCTGGCACATTGGTTTTATCCAACATTATGATTCAAAACTCTAATGTGCTTCAAGGAAAAGCAGATTATCTTTTCCAACAAAAATAACAATTCAGAAATAGCTTTAATTGCTGTTAAAATAAATTGTTGATGAGCTATAAGCAGTACTGCTGTGAAGCAGTGGCTAAAACTTAATACATTTCTTTGTTTCAACCAAAGATTTTTGTGCTTTTTGCTATTTTTTCCCAGTCCAGTTCTCTCTCTCTCTCTTTTTCTCTCCTTTGTTAATTCCTTAGTCAACAGGAAGATCACTTAAATTAGCAAAAACAGATTTCTGCTTCATTAGTTCTGAAAAAGGCATCTTTGATTTACGCACATATTGTGCATAATTGCACATGCATTTTTTTTTAAAAAAAGAACATTGATTCAGAACAAAATCTATTGGCCGTCATCTTCGAAAAATGAAATAAAATATTACTGATAGTCAGAAAATCATCACATATTGTTTTTAAACCTATCCATCCTTATCTGAGGCAAGGGCAAGAGTCCAAAAGTAAACCTATCAGATGCCCCATCCACATCACAACATAAGTCACCAGATGAATTGCTCCTGATTAGAATCAAAGGAGCAGACCTATTCAAGTGCTTGGGGTTTCCATACCCAAGCAGCTCTCATAGACAAATGGAAGCAGGATGGAATGCCATTCATAGATTTAGAATTAGGCTGAAAAAATCTGACCAACAGATGACAGATGGCAACATTTAGAGTTTGTTACTACATTTGCTGACATCGAATGGTGACCCACGGCACTATAGGTTTGAGGCTTTCACTTGCCTACAACTCATCTCTGCCTGCTGCTCCACTTGTGTAAGTAACTGGCTAGGTTCATCTAGGAGAAAGTACCAGCCTTACCATCAGATGTGTTTTTAAAAAACCAATGAAGGTCTAGTCATGTTCCCTGTACCTGATGCCACCCTTAAATGTATTACACCGTTGTAATTTAGATTGGATGCATTCTTTCCCATAAACTTTCTGCAACGAACTTTGTTGGTGCATGGCTAATTTTCCTTATAACTCGGTCCTCTGACCACTTAGAAGGGAGCAGTTAAAATGTCCTCTGTTGCAAGACCTTGGATAGTCAATGTTAATCAGTATATTCTCCTACGACTACATTTGGATATGTTGGAATATACTCAGGAATCAGGATGACAAAGCAAAGAGGCAGAAGTGGGGTGGATTAGATTTCAGCAGGTAATGTGGATGCATATTAATGGGTCTACTTTTAAGTTGCACTGGGCAGCACTGCTGTTGCATCAAATTACTTGCTAATGGCCAGGGGTGAGCTTGCCCTCATCCTCTTCAGCGAGGGGATGCCTTAGGTGAGGTAGATACAGGAGGAAACAGTGCTTACTGTTGCGACCAGCAAGTCTTCACCCCGGTCCGCTTTTTGAGTGGGAGCTGGAGAAGCCTCTGATTGGCTGAGCCGTTTGACAGCTCCATATAAAAGGATGGATACAAAAGGATACAAATGGAATCAGCTCTCTCTCTCTCTCTCAGCTGCTACTGTAAGGTCATGGCTAGCCGCGGCTGAGATACAATTTATCAATAAAGCCTGTTAGCTTTATTTTCGCCTCCACCTCGTCTCTCCTGCATGCCAAATCCAAAACTGGCAACAAGGATGAGATGGTCAGCAAACTGAGGCAATCCTAAGGCAGAGAGAGAGGGAGCACCACACTGCTGAAGTCACTACAAAAAGAGCTGTCACTAGAGCTGTCACTAAAAAGTGGAGAAATGATGGCACCACTGAACTTCCCGCCCTTTCAGCCGACCACCAAGACGTGGACATCATATATCAACAGGTTCGAATGAGTCATGGATGCCGTGAACCTATCTGACATCCCTCCGAACAGGAAAAAAGCCTATTTCCTGAGCTTCTGTGGGGCAACCGTCTTTGACACTGCCACCGCCTTGCTGTCACCTCAGACAGTCAAGGCTGTCACCTGGGAAGAGCTGCAGGAGGTGCTCAGAAACCACCATGCCCCAAAACCATCACACATTGCTCACCGTCATGCCTTCCAGTGAAGAAGTCAGGAGGAGGGTGAGTCCGTGAGTGAATATATGGCGGCTCTTCATTTGGCCGCCTTCCAATGAGGATTCCAAGACCATCTAGATGGTGTGCTGCTGGACCAGCTCATCTGTGGGGTGAGAGACCTTCATCTACAACAACGGCTGCTGGCAAAGGCCAACCTCAACTTAAAACAGGCAATCAAGGAAGCACAAGCAGCCGAACTATCAAACATATCTGCAGCTGAAATACAAAAAGCAAGCAGCCTTCCCAGGGTAAAGCCCAGCTCTACAGTTCACTATGAAGACACATTCTTTGAAGATGAATACTTCGAAGAGGAAGAAGCAGTAAATTGCCTCAAAACACCTCAGCCCATGCAGAGAAGAAGTCTCCCCACTGACAAGAAACAACTGACACCACAGCTGATTTGCCTCAGTTGTGGGAGAGACCATCTGAGAGCCACTTGCAGCTTTAGAAATGCAGTCTGCCTGAAGTGCCAGAAGAAAGGCCACCTGGTTAGAATTTGCCAAGCACCAAGAAACACAATCCGGCCACCTCAACATTTGAACCAGCCAAGAAATTTCAAACCCAAACAGGAATGCTATGCCATCAACAAAGCATTCCCAAGAGCTGAGTCACTGTCCTATTGTTTTAATATTAATAAAATTAATGTTGATCTTCTCCTAGAAGGCAGCCCCTGTCAGATGGAGGTGGACACCGAATCCTCACTTTCTCTCCTCTCCTGGAAGACACTGAAGAATCTGGTGCCAGACATCAAAAAGAACCATCTGAACCCCTGCAGCCTGACCTTGAGGGACTACCAGGGACAATCCATTCCAGTCCTCGGGAACAAGCAAGTTCCATATTCAGTACAACAATTTTAAGGGTCACCTGCCACTAATTATCGTAAATGGGTGCCTGCCAAGTTTATTGAGTTTGGACTGGTTCCACTCACTAGGACTACAAGTGACTGGAGTAAATGCAGTCATTCCCCACAACCTAGAGCAACTTCTTGCTAACTATTCAGAAGTTTTCAATGACAAATTTGGCTGTTACAATGGCACTCCTATTTCCCTTAACTTGGACCCAAACATAGCTCCTATACACCTCAAACCACGCAGAGTGCCATTGGCATTACGTTCTAAAATGGATGCCCAACTTGACAAATTAATTGCCCACAGGGTTCTGGAACCAATTGACTTTGCTAAATGGGAAACCCCTATTGTGATTCCTCTGAAACAAGATGGCTCTATTAGAATTTGTTCTGACTACAAGTCCATAATTAACAAGGGGCTCCAACCAACCGCTTATCCTGGGCCAATTATACAGCATCTACTCCACTCCCTAGGTAAAAGTTCCATCTTTACCAAGCTGGACATGACTCAAGCATACCAGCAATTTCCAGTGGACAATGAGACAGCAGAGGCCCAAACGATCATCACTCATAGGGGCGCTTTCAAATGTAAGCATTTGCAATTCGGTGTCAGTGTTGCCCCTGGTATATTTCAATCAATCATGGAATGCTTACTGTACAATATTCCAGGTGTTATCCCATACTTCGATGACATCCTCATCGCTGCTGACAGCCCACAAGATCATTTGACATGGGTGCAAAAATTTCTCCAGTGTTTTCAAAATACTGGCTTAACAAAAAGAAATGCATTTTCGCAGCTTCCAAAATAGACTTCCTTGGTTATCACATTGACTGCAAGGGAATTCACCCTGTGGAGTCCAAAGTACGAGCTATTCAGGAGGCCCCTGCACCCCAAAACAAAACAGAGCTGCAAGCCTTTTTGGGTGTACTTAACTTCTACAGCTCTTTCCTGCCCCATAAGGCTACTGTAGCTGAGCCCTTGCACAGACTGCTGGATTTCAAAACACCTTGGAAGTGGGGGAACTTAGAACAGGCCTTGTTCCTAGCAGTCAAATCCCTGCTAACTTCAGCCAAGGTACTCATACAATTCAGTGATGCTCTTCCCCTTATCTTAGTTTGTGATGCGTCCCCTTATGGGATTGGGGCATTCCTAGGCCACAGGTTGCACAGGCCACAGGCCACAGCACCTATTGCATATTTTTCAAGAACACTCTCCAAGTCTGAGAGAAATTACAGCCAAATAGACAAGGAGGCATTGGCTGCTGTGGCCTTAGTCAAAAGGTTCCATGAATACCTCTATGGACACCAGTTTGAGCTCATCACTGACCATCAGCCTTTGCTGGGCATCTTTGCAGCTGACAAACCCAGCCCACAAATCCTCTCCCCAAGAATGACTCACTGGACCATTTTCTTAGCAGCATACACCTACAAGTTGACATATAGACCTGGCAAAAATGTGGCCCATGCTGATGCCCTGAGCAGATGCACATTGCCCACCTTGGTTGCTCATCCTGCCCCTTCGGCCTCAGTGTTCCTGATGGAAGATCTACAATTGCCACTCACAGCTGATGACATCGCCTACGCCATCACCAAAGATACACCACTATCCCAAGTTATGGACTGGGTGCAGAGGGGGTGGCCCAGGGAAACCCCTCCAGTGGATTTCCGCCCCTTCAAGGCTCACCAAGCAGAACTGAGTGTGCTGAAGGAGTGTTTGTTGTGGGGAAACCGAGTAATAATTCCACATCTGCTACGGCCTTGTATCATTGAGGTACTCCATGAGGGTCACCCAGGTATCAATAGAATGAAGGCTTTGGCAAGGAGCTATGTGTGGTGGCCAGGACTGGATGAGCCAGTTACTAATAAAGTTCAAAGTTGCTCTACCTCCTGCACTCCTGGCTGCCACTCCAGGGGAATGGGAAGATACCAAAACACCATGGCCTAAGGTACATGTGGATTTAGAAGGCCCCATGCAAGGAAAGAACTTTCTAATCCTGGTAGACTTATTCTCCAAATGGGTAGAGCTGGTTCTCCTCAAGTGGTTGCAGTAGGCCGGGCCTTGGATAACATTTTCACATCCCATGGTTATCCAGACACCCTAGTTTCAGATAATGGGCCACAATTCACTTTCACTCCTTTGAGCTGTTCCTGGCCCAAAGGGGTATCAGGCATGCCCTGGTTTCCCCTTTTCACCCAGCTTCCAATAGCCTGGCAGAGAGGGCTATACAATCAGCTAAAGAAGCCCTGGGAAGAATGGCGGAAGGGGACTGGTCTACTAGGGTAGCCCAGTACCTATTCACCCAGCACACTACCCCTAGTGCTGCCACCAACCTCACCCCAGCTGAACTATTAATGGGAAGGAGACTATGCATACCCCTTGACAGGCTGCACTCTACCTATGCCCCCAGGGTGTCCCTCGACTTGTCCAGAAAGGTGAGCGAATTCAGGCCTGGGGACCCGGTCTACTCCCACAATTACGCGGGAAATCCCCTGTGGTTGCCCGGGTGGGTGGAACAGAAAACAGGTTCCAATCCATACAGAATAAGGTTGGTTGATGGAACAATGTGGCGCCGGCACGTGGACCAACTAAGAAACCATTGGAGTGCCCCTGCAGGTCCCTTCCAGAGGGAAGCCAAGACCGCGGACACTGAGTGGGACAACACCAGGGGTGGGATTCAAATTTTTTAACAACCAGTTCTGTGGGTGTGGCTGGGTTGGTGGACGTGGCTTGGTGGTCATGTGACTGGGTGGATGTGCCTTGGTGGTCATGTTATTACCTAGGCATGGCCAACTCAATATTACTCACATTGAGGCATGCATCTCCTCACCTGGCCTCTCATGACTGTGGAGATGCTGCAACAGTCGTAAGTGTGAAAAATGGTCATAAGTCACTTTTTTCAATGCCATTGTAACTTTGAATGGTCACTCGACACAAGCAAAGTACCAGCAAAAGAGGGGAAAAAGCTCCAGAGAAGTTCCTGAGATAGGAAGTCTAGTCCTGCCAAGAATGTAATAAGGGTTAACGGAGAGACAGTTTCTGTAAGCAACACCAATATGTTTCCTTCCTGCCTTCCTTACAGGATTAGGCCAGTAATTTCTTCTAACAACCGGTTCTCTGAACTGCTTAGAATGTTAACAACCGGTTCTAGCGAATAGGTGCAAACTGGTAGAATCACACCCTTGGACAACACCGAAGTCCCTCGAAGGCTGATGCCCAACCAGCGGTCTCTCGCGGAGGCCTTACCTGAGGAAGCCGTGACATTGATGACCGGAGCCCGCTTGCCACCATCTGAGGAGGTCTAGCCAACGCCCGAGGTTCTCCCGCAGCCAGCTGAGATTACCCGGGGAAAAGAGACAACACCACCCCCAGAAGGCTCCAGCTCAGCAACAGGTCCTTCCCCATTGCCGCCATCTGCAGGACTGAGACGATCAGGGCGAGTGAGGCGTCACCTGCCTACCTGGACAGTTATGCATGCACAGTTCCAGGGGGAAGGAGTGTTGCGACCAGCAAGTCTTCACTCCGGTCTGCCTTTTGAGCGGGAGCCGGAGAAGCCTCTGATTGGCTGAGCCGTTTGACAGCTCCGTATAAAAGCAGCTGTCAAAGGAATCAGCTGTCTCTCTCTCTCTCAGCTGCTGCCACAAGCTCGCAGCTAGCCGCGGCTGAGATACAATTTATCAGTAAAGCCTGTTAGCTTTATTTTCGCCTCCGCCTCGTCTCTCCTGCGCACCAAACCCAAAACCTAGCTTTTGGGTGGGGTTTCAGAATGCGCTCAATGTTTTACAAAAACATTGTGTATTCTTTGAAATGCACATTTTTATAAATATCATGTTCCAAACATTATATAATGCTGCATGCTGAGAAAATTGCAGTGCACGAATTATCCTTCAAAACTTTATATCAATTGGAGGGTTTGTTTGTTTTGGATTTTTGCTGAATTTATGGTCTCCTAAGGAGATACCATCTTGCTTACATTCAGTAGGACTGTATGACGATAAAGGACAGTAGATTAATACAGTAGTTCAGAACTGTAGATATAATGCTTGTCATGGGCAGCACAGAAAAATATTTTATGTTGTATTGTATCCTGACTTTTCTTTGGGAGCTCAAGGCACCTTTTTTCCCTTCCTTGTATCCTCTCAACAACCACCCTGTAAAATGATTTCTATAGAGAGAAGATGGCTGAACTAAGATCACCAAGAATGGTCAAGTGAAGGTGTGAAGTTAGATCTGTCCAAAATCTAACATCTTAACTTTTGTGCTATGCTAATTATTGAGCTGTTACTGCACAAATGGGACAATTAGGCCTTGACTGTATTTATTCAGTTTCTATTCTCACTGGAAACTAGACAATACCTGATGACAGCCCATGTCTGTCTCCCCTTCCCTAGCATATTTTGCTCTAAATGCCTCACAACTGTTCAATCATGTTTTCCCTCTGACACAACCTATGAAATGGCTCTGGGTAGGAAGCAGCTCTCCAACTCCTTTCAATAAATCAGCAGCCAGTACTGTATGAAGGGTTAATCTTCCCTTCACATCTTAAGTACAGTTAAGAAGCTGAAACAAAAGAGTCGTTATTTTCCAATACCAGACATGTCTATAGCTTGTTCAAGAGTTTGCAGCGCTGATTAAGCACTCAACTAGGGCTGATGAGGTGTTCAATAAAATCAGCCCATTGCATTTCACAGCTTGGAAAGAAGCAAAATGAACAGAGCTTGGCTGAAGAACCTTGTTTTTCTAGTAATTAGAAACACAGTGAATCTTGCCTCTCAAAATTAGTTGTAAATGTGGATTTCCCTTGCTGAAATTGCATTGCCTGGCATATCTTTCAGGCTATTGTAGAGTGATATGTTGTTTTCTTTCCCTTAGGCTGAGTCCCCATCTTAGCTTCCACTCACGTTTCCATACCAATAGTCACACTAACTATTGGATAAAGTAGCTGTTAGTGCAAGGAGGGATTTGAAACA